AGCTGTGAGGTGATGTGTCACTGCTTTTGGCTTGAATTTCCCTGATGATGCGTGATGAACCTACCGGCCACTACTATGTCTTCTTTGGAGAAACGTCTCTTCGAGCTGTCTAGGGACCATTGACTTTATCTGATAGTGTCATCTACTGAGGACACCTGCCAAAGTAAATTACTTTGAGATTGCAAGAGGGGAATATTCTAACTCTGCCATTCATTCCATTTGTCTGGAATTGTTTCCTAAAAAAATAACTTTTCTTCTTCAAAGAGGGTATCAGGCCAACTTGAAACACTGTCCAAACAGGAAAGGCAAGACAGTTGCTGAATTATTTTCCTTAAAAGGACATGGTTCTGAGTGAGGGACTACTGCCCCAGTCACCTCCAAATGGGGACTGGTCAGGCTTTGTTTGCTTTTTGTTTGCTTTTAGTTACTTCTTTTGGCGTGTTATTTAAATGGTGCTGGGAAAACTGGACAGCTATATGTAGAAGAATGAAACTCGACCATTCTCTTACACCATACACAAAGATAAACTCAAAATGGATAAAAGACCTCAATGTGAGACAAGAATCCATCAGAATCCTAGAGGAGAACATAGGCAGGAACCTCTTCGATATCAGCCACAGCAACTTCTTTCAAGATATGTCTCCAAAGGCAAAGGAAACAAAAGTGAAAATTAAGTTTTGGGACTTCATCAAGATCAAAAGCTTCTGCACAGCAAAGGAAACAGTCAAGAAAACAAAGAGGCAACCCACGGAATGGGAGAAGATATTCGCAAATGACAGTACAGACAAAAGGCTGATATCCAGGATCTATAAAGAACTCCTCAAACTCAACACACACAAAACAGACAATCATATCAAAAAATGGGCAGAAGATATGAACAGACACTTCTCCAATGAAGACATACAAATGGCTATCAGACACATGAAAAAATGCTCATCATCACTAGCCATCAGGGAGATTCAAATCAAAACCACATTGAGATACCACCTTACACCAGTTAGAATGGCCAAAATTAGCAAGACAGGAAGCCTGCTTCTCTCTCCCCCTCTGTTTGCTGCTCCCACCACTTGTGCTCTCTCTGTTAATTTTTTTTTTAAGTGTCTTTTCCTTCTTAAAAATCATTGCATTGGAAATTTGGGGTCTTTTGTGGTTCCATACAAATTTTAGAATTATTCTAGTTCTGTGAAAAATGATGTTGGTATTTTGATAGGAAATGCACTGAATCTGTAGATTGCTCTGGAAGGGATTACACTAAGTGAAATAAGTCAAGCAGAGAAAGACAATCACATGGTTTCACTCATATGTGGAACATAAGGAATAGCCTGGAGGCCCACAGAGGCAGGGAGGGAAACCTGAATGGGAAGAAATCAGAGATAGACAAACCATGAGAGACTCTTGACTCCAGAAAACACACTGAGGATTACAGAAGGGAGGGGTGGAGCGATGGGGTAACCAGGTGATGGGCATAAAGGAGGGCACTTGATGTGTGCAATGAGGTGTGTGATGAGTGTTGAGTGTGTGATGAGCGAGCACAGGGTGTTATGCGCAACTCATGAATCATTGAACACTACATCAAAGTAATGATGTACTATATGCTGGCTAATTGAAATTAATAAAAAAAAAATCAAAGCAATTTTGAAAAAGAAAAACGACACTGGAAATATCACAATCCCAGATCCTAAGATCTACTACAAGTCTAGAACGAACACAACAGGATGGTATGGGCACAAACACAGACACCCAGATCAGTGGAACAGAACAGAGAGCCCAGGAATAAACCCATGATTATATGGTCAATTAATCTTCGATGAAGCAGGATAGAATGTCCAATGGAAAGAAGACAGTCTCTTCCATAAATGGTGCTGGGAACACGGGACAGCCACATGCAGAAGACTGAAACTGGACCATTCTCTTATACCTCACCCCAGGATAAACTCAAAATGGATGAAAGACCTCAATGTGAGACCTGAAACCATTAAACTCCTAGAAGAAAACACAGGCAGTTATCTCTTTGACATCAATCATAGAAAATTTTTCCTGATATGTCTCCTGAGGGAAAGCCCAAATGAAACTAGTGGGGGAAAATCAAGATCAAAAGCTTCTGCACAGCAAAGGAAACCATCAACAGAACTAAAAGACAACTTACGGAATGGGAGAAGATGTCTGCAAACGACGTCTCTGGTAAAGGGCTGGTGTCCACGGTCTATAAAGAACCCATACAGGTCAACACCCAAAAGCCAAACAGTCCGATTAAAAAGTTGGCAGAGGACATGAACAGGCGTTTCTGCAAAGAAGACATCCAGATGGCCAACAGACACGTGAAAAGATGCTCCACATCACTCACCACCAGGGAAATGAAATCAAAACCACAGTGAGATACCACCTCACACTGTCAGAACGGCTAGAATCAACAACGCAAGAGACAACAGGCGTTGGTGAGGACGGGGAGAAAGGGGAGCCTCGTGTACTGTTAGTGGGAATGCAAGTTGGTGCAAGTGTGGAGGTTTCTCAAAAAGTTAAAAGTAGAACTACTCTATGGATCAGTAATTGCACCACCCAAAGAATATAAAAACACCAATTTGAAGGGAGACATGCAGCCCTATGTCTATAGCAGCATTATCTACCGGAGCCAAAGTGTGGAAGGAACCAAGATGCCCACCAACACGCGAATGTCAGAGGGGAGGGGAGGGCAGACGGTCCCTCGGGGCCTCTAGGAGGACCCAACCCTCCAACACCTTGACTTCAGACTTGCAGGCTCCAGAAGTGAGAGAGAGACTTCTCTTGTTTCAAGCTGCCAAATTCATGGTGATTTGTTGCAACAGCCCTAGGAAACTGACACAAAATGTGTTTAAATATGCTGAGGACAAATGGGAATGTACTAGTTTCTATTCCAAATCCACCATAAGACATGTGAGTCTCACATGTAATGTATGTTGGGCAGAGGAAGGGATTTTCATCACTAAAATAAGTACACTGAGGGGCGCCTGCGGGGCTCCATCAGCTGAAGGTCTGACTGTGGACTTCGGCTCAGGTCATGATCTCAGGGTTGTGGGATCAAGCGCCAAGTTGCGCCGCACGCTGGGTACGGAACCCGCTTGAGATTCCCGCCCTCCCTGTGCTCCTCTCCAACCTCCCTCTCTAAAAGAAGTAGTATTACATTTTAAAAAATCAATTCAACAATGAAATAAAATAGACACTGAGCCAGCTGGCGGGGCAGCGGGTGGTGTCCCAGCGGGGGTGCGGCCCCTCGGTGCCCTCCACGCTCAGTGGAAATTAAGGCAGGAGGAAGCAGCAGACAACCAATGGCCATCAGGTAAGAACCGGAGGCAGGAGTCTGGCGCTCAGAGATGTGGGCACTCCTGCTGGCACCGTCAGTGCCTGGGGACTGGGACACTGACAGTGAGAGATCAGCACGGAGAGAAAACTTTGAAGTGTGGACGGATCCAAGTGACAGAAAATGAGGGCTGGGATTTCTGCTGGAGGAGTGTGCGACCAACCGCAGTCACGGTGTCGGAACTGGCGTCTGACTCTCGGACAATCACACACATTTCTGAACCACGACAAACTGACCCAGAAGGACCTGATGGTGAAGGATATGAGAAGCCATAGGCGGGAGGCAGAGAGAAAAGCGGGTCCTCCGGCAGAAAACGATGGAAACAGGAACCACATGCACGCCGCCACGGCCGCAAGCTCTCTGGGAGGCGTCCAGGAGCGGCCCCTCCAGGGTCACGCAACCGCATGGCCGAGCCCAGGGACGGGCGTCCTTCTGATCAGCAGGTGCTGGCAGAGCGGAACGTGGCCCAGGACAGCAGAACGTCCCCGCCCGTGACCCCGTCCAGTAAAGAGGCCCCGTGCTCTGTCTGAGCAGCTGCACCCCGAGACCGAGCGGCGGGAGGGGGTCCGAGCTGCCCATGTGGCTCTGGGGTCTCGGGGTCGCCCACGGAGCGGCTCGGCAAGCACGGCTGAACCGGGTGGCGTCGCTTTTGCTCAGGGAAACACAGCCAAGCGAGCCGGACCCCGTGTGTGTCCACTCGTCTCACCCCCCCCACGCAGCCACACAACCACCTCTGCGGGGGAGGGGCCGAGAGCAGCCCGAGAGCCGCTGTGGACGGGGTCCGCTGGGCCGCCGGGTAAACAAGAACGATGCCCAGCAGTGGCCGCGGCGCCACGGTGACGACCCCGTCAGACAGCGAGCGGGACCGCCGGCCAGCGGAGGTGGGGGCGCCCGGCTCTCCCCTCTGGCACCACCCGCGACCAGATCCTGTGGTGCGGGCTGATCGGTGACGCCCCCCACGCGGAGGCTCCTCGCGACGACACCGCACATCTGCGAACAGATCGGCCCCGAGGGAACCCCTGGTACCGCGACAGCCCGAAGGAGGCAGAGCTGCCGCAGCGTGAGGGAGCCAGCCCGGGGCTGAGACGTCGCCAGGGCCTGTGCCTAAGACCCAAAGTGGCCAACTGGGAGACGCAGGACATCCTCATGACAGGCGGTGACCACCAGGACGCACGGGAGACTGCGGCCCGGACCCTGCCGAGTCCTCGCCGTGCCAGGGCCGATTCCGAAAGTCCCTTTCCCTGCGTCCTTCCCCTTCCCAAGCCCTACGAATCAATAAAAGCGCTTCTCTGGAAAGTCAGAAAAATGAACAATAAAATCAGTACATTGTTCCCAGAGATATCCAAAAGCAGCACTCCTGGTAAAAACCTCGGATCTGATCTTGTACTTATTACTGTTGTCATCTGGCGATTCGCAGGAGAGCAGCGTGTAGCAACTCCTTTCACGTGGAAGACAACTTGTGCCATGACTGATAAATGAATAAAGAAATAAATTAACGTGTGACTGGGGTTAAAAAAATCTGGCCTCACCAATACTAACACAGGAGGGCCGGTCACAGCTCTCACGTCACGCTTATTAAAGGTGTTCGTGCTTATAAACTGTCTCCACAAGAACGAGCAGAGGGGTCAGGACTGAAGTTGAAGCGACACGCCATGGTGGCACTTACGTGTCTGTCCTCCACACCAGAAGCCACGTAGCGTCCGCACGGGCTGAAGGCAATCCCACAGGGGTATCCGTGGTTTGGATGTCCCTCAAAACAGCGCTCGCATCTATAGGAAAAAGAGAAACACCAGGAGAAAAATATGATTCTTTAATTTTAACACAAAGGGGGCAAAGGACGCTGACACGCAGTCTGTCTTCCCGACAACGAACGAACCAGCGCTGAGACTTGCACACACGAGTCATTAAAGGCCAGCAGGCCATCCTGGACATGCAAAATAGAAAAACAACCGTTTCCAAACCACAGATTACTTGGATCAGTGATCGAAGACTTGGGCAGGTGCAGTGCTCTCTCGAGCAGGTCAGGTGCTCCCGCCAACCACCTCCGAAGTGTTACAGATGTGGGGGGACCCGGGCCGGTTCCAGGAAAGCCTGCGCCAGCGTGGGCCAGCACAGGGCTGGGCTCTGGGGACTCCAGGGTGCCACACTGAGCCGCCGCCAGAGACGGCCCCTGGGAGCCCCCCACCACGTCACAGGGCCTTTTATCCCCATCTCGCCATTACAGAGGAGAGCAGGGACACTGCTCACATCGCCCGTGTGACCCCGCCGTGTGCAGTCACACACACGAGCATTGCTGACACTGGGCTACATACGCTGTTTAGTGATCAGTCCCCGTAACGGAACAGGACAGCCCGATAGGTGCGCTCGCAAACTGTTGCTTCGGAGCATCTCATGACCCCTGTGCGTCTCTGACCCTCAGGGCACAGGGCACATGCACAGACGGGAAAGACCAGCACTGCTCCCGTTAGCGTTCCAAACTGCTGTGACCTGTTCTGTGTATAAGTCAGACTTCTCTTAGATGCGTCAGCGGGAACGGGTTCACCACAATCACGCCGTATTTGGAAAAAAGACGTCAAACTGAGTTCACAGGCACTGAGCCCGTGTGCCCCGGTGTGCCCCGACCTGCGGCCTGCAGGCCAGGACGGGCCTCACCTCAGGGTTCTCAGGTCCCACAGCTTCACGCCGTCCCCAGCGGCTGTGGTGGCAAAGAGGTTATACAGCAGCGGCTGCTGAGTCGTGAATCACGATCCCTAGGGTCAAAGGGGAGGAAACGAGACGTGCTCTTTAGAGGCTGAATTCATAAACCATGCAATGATGCCTAACGACAGTGAATGTCAAGTAAGAAACGGACAAAAAAAAAAAAAAAAAAAAAAAAACTGGCCTCCAAAAACATCCTTCTGAATAATTCTGGGGGTTTTTTGCCTTTTTTAATTTTTTCAGTGTTCCAAGATCCATTGTTTATGCACCACACCCAGTGCTCCATGCAATCCATGCCCTCCTTAGTACCCACCACCAGGCTCCCCCAACCCCCACTCCCCTCCCCTCCCAAACCCTCAGATTGTTTTTCAGAGTCCACAGTCTCTCATGGTTCACCTCCCCTTCCAATTTCCCTCAACTCCCTTCTCCTCTCTAACCCCCTTTGTCCTCCATGCTATTTGTTATGCTCCACAAGGAAGTGGAACAGGAAGTTGGTGCAGCCACTTTGGAGAACAGTGTGGAGATTCCTCAAGAAATTAAAAATAGAGCTACCCTATGACCCTGCCATTGCACTACTGGGTATTTACCCCAAAGATACAGATGTAGTGAACAGAAGGGCCATCTGCACCCCAATGTTCATAGCAGCAAGGGCCACGGTCTCCAAACTGTGGAAAGAACCAAGATGCCCTTCAACGGACGAATGGGTAAGGAAGACGTGGTCCATACACACGATGGAGTATGATGCCTCCATCAGAAAGGATGAATACCCAACTTTTGTAGCAACATGGACGGGACTGGAAGAGATGATGCTGAGTGAAATAAGTCAAGCAGAGAGAGTCAGTTATCATATGGTTTCACTTATTTGTGGAGCATAACAAATAGCATGGAGGACAAGGGGAGATGGAGAGGAGAAGGGAGTTGAGGGAAATTGGAAGGGGAGGTGAACCATGAGAGACTGTGGACTCTGAGAAACAAACTGAGGGTTTTGGAGGGGAGGCGGGGGGGAGGTTGGGTGAGCCTGGTGGTGGGTATTGAGGAGGACACATAGTGCATGGAGCACTGGGTGTTACACACGAACAATGAATCTTGGGACACCGCATCAAAAACTAATGACATACTGTATGGTGACTAACATAACACAAGAAAAAAATGTCCATCTTCCTTCCATGTCAAGAATATACATGTTATTAAGAAAAATGTAATAAAGTGCTGCATGGGTGCCTCAGTGGGTTAAAGCCTCTGCCTTCAGCTCAGGTCATGACCCCAGGGTCTCGGGATCGAGCCCCGCATCGGGCTCTCTGCTCAGTGGAGAGCCTGCTTCCCTTCCTCTCTCTCTCTGCCTGCCTCTCTGCCTACTTGTGATCTCTGTCAAATAAATAAATAAAATCTTTAAAAAAGAGAGAAAAATGTAATAAAGTACATCTGAAAGCGTTTATCCTTGCAGTGTGCACATACGTCAAGGTCATTCTTCAGTTACAAATAGGAAATGAAGGTTTACATAAACCCAACAAAAAACTAACAGAGAGTCTTAACTCTGTGCCAACAGCATTCTAAACACTGAACATTTCATCCTCTTAACAAACTTATGAGACGTAAGCTATTTTACCCCATTTCAAGTGAGAAACATGACACAGAGGAATCCGCTCATGGCCACCCAGCTACGCCTCTCAAGAGAGCTTAACAGTCCACTAACGATCACAAGGTCAAGACACCTTGTAACGCTAACACCCGGACAGTTCAACGGCCGTCCAGCACACATCCAGAGCTCATGCACTGACGCTGGGCACTGCGCAAGGCCCTGAGTCTGAGGACAAGTCCAGACCTAGTCCAACAGAAGGCAGAGTTATGATACCTTACAATACTGCCGGTTTCTTGACGCTCACCAGTAAAAAACCAAAAGCATTCACAGGGATAGAAAGAGAATTAAAATCTTTTTTCTATCAATCCAATTGAGACTAAGGAAGAAGAAATGAAGAAGCAAAGAAAATGCACAATAAATAGGAAATACAGAAGTTTTTTTTTTCTCTTTAATGTAGAAAGCATAAAATGTATGAGTAATCATACCAATTGCACACTAAACAAGTTAAAAAAAAAAGAAGAGATTCTTAATTGGATTTCAAGAAAAACTCTTAAAATATTAGTTTTGAAGGCGGAATGTGAAGGGTGAGGGAAAAAGAGCATATACTAAAGAAAACAAGGCAAGATAGATTGCGTAAGTACTCGAGAAAATAGTTACCAGGCAAATAAGACCTCATTAAAAATAGTCTGTAGATGTTATAAAAGGAGCACTGCAATGGAAGCACAAGAACTCTGACTTAGATGTCCCGAATGACACAGCCTGTAACTATATGGGGCAAAAATTAATAGAATTGTAAGAAAAATAGACAAGATTACAATCATAGGAAGAGATGCTAATACATTTCTCTAATAAAAAAAAAACAATTGAGAGTACAAAAAATTAGGAACATGAATAACTTGAGTACAACTAATAAAGTTGGGCCAACAGACATCTATGCACCGTGGCGGGTGAGAACATCTTCTTTTCATACACACACACGTGACAGCCATAAAAATCCACCAGGGAGCCGGTTTCTCAATAAATGCAAAAATCCCAGCAGCAGAGGAGAACCAGGGGCATACGGGTCACGTGCATAGAACACCACGCCATGAAATCAGAAACCAGTCACAAAAAGTTTACCGAAAACAAGCTCGTATGTGTAGAAATCTAAAAGCGCACATCTAAATAAAGTCTAGGTTTAAAAAAAAAGTCATACTGGGAATTAGAAACTCTCTAATGGGGAACAAGCGTCACGCGGCACAGGGACACGCAGTCTGCTGCCGTCATGGGCAAGAACAACAGCGCACATGGCCCAGGACGCAGTTTGATGTGTCCTGGGAAAGAGCCGCACCAAATCCACTTGCGGTCATCAAAGAAGAACAAGGCAGAAAGATACAGAGCAGACTGTGTCTGTCCCCACAAGCACTTCATTTCTTTAAGAAAAGGAAAAAAAAAAAAGATAATAAAGTAATACATTTCAAGGCGATCATAGGGTTTTACTGACCACTCCTGCAGAAAAAAAGTTCTGTGTGATACGATTTTCCATAAGAAAACGATTTCAACCATTACATATTTAATTTTTTACATCAAATTAGCTGTATAGCATTGTGTATCCAAATCACAAAAATGTGTATATCTTATTCAAGCATTGAAAAGAAGTAACAGTCAAGTTTTTATTATATATAAGGGAAAAACAATAGCTATAATTTTTAAAGAGATCAAAAAATCATAAAAGATTTGTGTATTTTCATTGTAAAAATAAATCACTTAATATTATCACACCATTTAAAAATAGGAAACCATGGCGCTCATGTTTCGCTGTGGTACTCTTGTGAACGTGATAAAAGGGAACAGTCTGCTTCTCCAGCCACGATCGCGGGGCAATCCCCAGGAGAGGGGTTTCAGGCTGCGCGCCAGTGCGCTTGCACAAGAGCGTTCTGCTGCGTGACGAACATGGCTATGCTCTTCCTGAGCTCAAGAGAAATTCGAATGATCTCGTTCACGTTTTACTGGAAATATGGCATTTGGGCCAGTTAGGATCTGTGCTCCATGAGCACTGCTGGGCAGCAGCCCCCACACGGCTGCGGTTAGTCAGAACACTTGAATGCGTATTGTGTAACTGAACAAAAATTTAAGAGAAGCTTAGAAAAGGAAAACAAGCTATTAGAGTACAGTGTGAGCGTCTGTAACCTTACACTCCGTCCCTACCCTCCCGTCACATACCACTCAGACGGGTATTTTCAGGAAGTCAGACCAGTTATTTGTTCCCAGTAAGTAAAACCCTCAGGACTATTTTTCCTCACACCACCCCTCCCATCCACGAGCACGCCACCATGATGCCCGAAATACCAGTCATCACTGGAGGACCACATCAATTTGAGGTAGACCAGGCTACCGCTGGGTCATTGCATAAGCTGCTACTTAACAGAGAAGAGATGTTAAGCAGTTTCCTACAGCAAATGCACGAAAACTCAGAATGACAAGAGGTTTCGTGAGAGGGACAGAGTGGTCACCGTGTCTCCGAGGAGGAAGGACACCTGTCTCTTCACAGCAGTGGCTCTGCACAGGATGCCGGTGCGCCCAGAGCGCAGTTCCCGAGGACTCTGCAGAGACACTGTCCCAAGACCCATGTCCATCAGGTAGGGGCCCCTGCGTCCAGCCTGACACCCCGCCCTGAACACGGGCCCCACCCTGAGCCCCACGGACTGCAGCAGACTCGACCTCTCCGCACCAGCCAGGCAGCCGGCATGTGGCAGGAGCGGCCCCAGGCGGCTACCCGGGCAGGGGAGCTGCATCTACGGAGCGTCCCGTGAAGCCGGCTGCTGCAGAGGGAGCAGGGTGAGTGCCCACGCAGCAGCTCGGGACGCCCCAGCAGCCGGGAGGCCGGGAAGCCACCAGGTGCAGGGCCTGGCACAAGCTGGTGCGGCCGCTCGGGGTCCCATCCCCCACCTGCTGCTCCGTCCCATCCCTTCTCTCGTCCCCCACCCGCCGCGCCACGGAGGGGGACTTGCGCGGCACCATGCACTCCCTGAGCACCAGCGCCCTGCCCGTGGGGGAGAAGACAGCGCGGCACAAGCCCTTCCAGCCAGAGCCAGCGGCGCAAGGTCATTGTCTCCATGTCTGTGCAGCTCGCTCAGGCACACCCACGCAAGCGTCAGCGCGGTCCCTCGCCTTCCTGCTCGGCCTCCACAGCAGCTGCCCTGGGCCCACAACAAAGCCCACCCCGTGCCCAGAGCCCACAAGCTCCACCTCGGGCTTCCCGCATGGGCCTGCATTCTGCTCTCCTGACGCACACGCGGCCACTCCCGTACCGCCTGGCCCTGTGCCCACCTCACCTCCTCAGAGAGGGCACACAGAGGGGCCTCGGCACAGCGCGTGTGTGGCTGTGTGAACCCGCCCCCCTGCAGTTCATCCGTCAGCTGTGAGGACCCCACTCTCTCCTACACACGTGCACCCCAGGGCTCACTAGCACGGCAGGTGCAGACCCACCGGGAC